TTGGTGGTTTCTCAGGACTGAAGTGGCCTGCCAGGCGGCAGTTGTCAAGAACATTTAAAGGCATACTAGCTATAGCCCTCAGGGGAAAGGAGTAACAGATGGGCAAATAACAGATTGAAAAGCACAGAAAAAAAAGGAAGAGGCTCAGAAAGGAGGTGCCTGAGGAAACAAGGGCTCTCAAAATGTCCTGTGCGGAGAATTCAGGTGATCTAGAAGAGATCGGAGAATGCAGGGTTTCACCTCTGGCATTTCGCCCCTGTAGAAGGAAACGAAGACTAAGGTAGAACTGCCAATGTGCAGATGACCTAGCTATGCCTTAATAGCGAGACCCACTCCAAGCCATAGTCTAATTAAGAAAAATTGAGACATTTAAGGAAATTAAATCGCTAGCTGACCATTAAGGTAAAAGAACAGATTTCAGAGGAGACAAAAGATAATAATCGTTATAGAAATTGTTTAGATAAGTCACTAAGCAATTATAAAGCATGACAAGAATCAACAGTGAATTCTAGGGTGGGTGAAAGAATCTGATTTCCAGGATTATGACATTACAATAGGGTAAATAACCAATTTTCAACAATCAAAAGAAACCAATAGGCACACAAGGAAATACAGTACAGCCCATCCACAGGGGACAGAAGGAAAAAGAAAGGAAATTAATAGATGCTCTCCTTGAGAAGTCCTAGATGGGTTTACATCAATCATATCCTCCCCGGCCTGGTCCTGGTCTGCCTCTCCCAGGTACCCTGTGTCAGCTCATTAATAGCCACAGTATTCATCCTGGAGTTCCCCAGACCATCAGGCTCATGCCTACCTTTGGCCTTTAAATGTGCCATATTCTCCCACTGGAATGCTCTTTTCCCACTGCTCTGCTGAGCTCACTCAGCTCATTCTGGACTTTTCTGTTTCCCCAGAGGCACCTTTTCATCTACTTTGTCTAAAGGCAGCCATACCTTCCCCAATTCCCTACGCTTTTGCCACCTTTACTGTTCACTCTCTCAAATATATTCTCCCTCTCTTTCTTGCATGTCAATTTTGCTAAAACAAAAGGTCCTTGGCAGTAAGTTCTTTGTGTCCTTTACTGTGGGTCACTGACTCACAGCAGTGAACCAGAACAGGGCTAAATAAATGCTTATCAAATGAACAAAGATAGATCATTTATACATGGTGAATAATAAAAACAAACATGAAAAGCTCGTAAGATACCTGTGCGATGTCTCCCTCAGCTCCAAAATTTTGCTTAGCAACTGTTTAATGAACCTATTAGAGAAGCTCTTCAAAGGTGAAAGGTTTGGTGCCAGTGTACCTGTCATTTTTACTGGGATGGTAGTCATATGTATGTGGAGGGAAGATAGGGGTTGGTGGTGAGAAAGCCAGCCACCTCTGACAGCGTTAGTGGTAGGGATAGCCTTGAGATTTTGAAATAATATTATTGCCAGCAGAGTTTAGAAAATAAGGCAGGAATATAAAAACTGTTTAATATTGTCCAAGGCACAGAAAACAGAGACACCAAACTGAGTGGACTTTGCCTCTAGAGCGGTGTCCTTCTTGATTCTGAGAAGTTCAAAAATAACCTGAAAGAAGAGATGATTCTGTAGAATTAAATTTATGAACAGCTGTGAGTTTATCTCACATTGGATTCAACTATTTTATCTTTCTAGAACCTATTATATGTAATTTTTACTTTGTCAATGTATTAGCCACTTTCCTTTCTTTCAAAAGATGCTATAATAACCTCAGTAGCCTCCTCTGAGATATTATGGCAGCTTATGAAAACACAGCTTCAGAAGCTAGACAGGTGTGGTTCGAAGCCTGGCTTTGCCATTCACCAGCTGGGTAGGTTAGCCTCGGTTTCTATATATAGGATAATATTAGCACCTGTATCATAGGGCTATTATAAGGATTAACTGAGTTAATACATATAATGTATTTAACAGAATGCCTGGTATGTAGTACTGCTTAGAACACATTGGCTGATGCAGCTACAGCTATGCTTATAATTATTATTGTGAGTATACATACATACCTGTCTTGAGATCATTATAAAAGTCTTAAATTAGGGCTGGAGATACAACTCAGTGATTGGTAGCACATTTGCCTTGCATGTGACACAAAGGCTCAATACCCAGTACCACGCAAACATACACAAAAGACCTGAATTAATATGTGACAACCTACAACCTAGTGATATTGTTTTAAAGACCATAGGGTTACCAGTTTTTATATCAAAGTTGATTTGCTGGGTATACTTGTAAAATGTTTCATGGTTTTTACATTTTTTCAGTTCTAATGGCTGTTGGTCATTTTTCAAGTCTCTATCAACCTCTTTCTATGTTTCTATGTTTGTAGGGAACATAACCAAGCTTGTTAGGGATGGTTTAAGCAAAAGCTAGTATTTTCTAAACTAAATTGAAGATGTCCTATGAACTAGTCTATAGACATCTTTTTCAGCTACTTAGAGGCATTTTATTTTACTTTTTGATTTCTTATTTCTTAGATAAATAGAAGGAGTTATCAAAAAAGTTCCTGAGGTTATGAATATGACAACAATGTTATACCCATACATGAATGCTAAAATTAACAAGTATGTAATGTAGTCCAAATAAATTACTATATGTTAGATACTGGGAGAATAAAAATGAAACAAAAACACGGTCCTGACCCTCTTGAGGCTGACAACATCAAGGGGGAGTGTTGGGGAACCCTGCTGTTAAAGTTGGCTCCTTTCTCAGCAGGGGCTTCCTGCCTGAGTTACCTGGAAAGTGCCACCAAACACAGATGCTTGGCCTGATTTGAAACATGGCCTTTGGCATAGTTACCTGCAATAAAACTACCCCCAGGTTTTTTCTATATGATAATTAGGCATCGCCCCATAGTCGGATGATAGGATCCCCTGCCACATGTAAATAAAGCATACTATGAGCACCTATCAGCTGAAGCATTGGCTGCTGCCTCCACACTATATTTTCCCTAACTCCCACTGAATAAACGGAGCTGTTTCACTGAGTCTGGAGCTGTTTGTATCACTGAACCTGCCTCCCCAGGAAGGGCTTCCTTCCGTCAGTGCTCACTGGCCGTCCCTGACCCCGTTTGCTTCTACTCCCTTTGTCCTCGTGGACCGGCAGCCAACAACCCACGAGGGAAGGGAGAGACCCCACAGGGGAGATGAAATATATAAGTGCAGTGTTGAGGTAATGCAATGAGAGATACTAAAGCTTTCTGCACAGGTACATGAGAGCTCAGAGGAAGGGCTGTAGCCTAACAGGAACTCAGGGAAATAACCTTAGAGGATCCATGATGGCCATGGAAAGCAGACTGAATGGGATATTCCAAGCTGGAAATGGGCAGGGTAATGAGGTTGGAAGTAGCACAGAGCTTTTGTCAGAGTAGGTGGCTGTATATAAGAACAAATAGTTGGATATTGCTATTAATAAGATAAGCCAAGTGGGAAAGGTGTGAAGCTAGGGAGTAGACTGCATGCGGGAGGGGGTGTCAGGCTCCAGCGGGGCCTCATATGGATGTCATGCTGAGAAACCAGCATGTTAAATGACTCTGAAGCATTAAGGAACTTTAAAAAAAAAAATGGCCATCTTTAGATTTTCATTCTAGATATACAACTGAGATGGCAGAATGAAAGACAGAGAAAGCTAGAAAAGTCAAGGAGGAGACACCAACTTAGTGGTTCCTACAGTACCGCTGGAGATGGCAAGACCCGATGGAGGCAAGGCAGCAGTTACAGTGAGAAAAACAAGCCCAAATAAAGCAAAAGCCTCTGGTGACTGGCAGACAAGGGGACAAGCTTGGGAGGAGGCTATCAATATCCAACTATTTGCTCTTATATAGGGCCACACACTCTGATAAAATATGTTATCTTCCTATGCCCTCACAGGGAATAAAAAGCTAAATTAAAGTAACAAGAAAGCCAGTGGTTCCTCTCTGTTAACCACAATTTCATCAGGCCTTGAGTCTGGGTAGATGAATATTAAGTTGAGTCATATTAGGTTTGAGGTAATCACAGGAGGGGTTAGGACTGGAGCGAGAAACTTTAGGACAAACAAAGAGATCCATGAAAGCTGATGGAACTCTATAGGGATGTGTGTGAGAGAGAAGAGCAGCAGAGAATGGAGTGGGAACACCATGTTGAGAGGCAGGAGATGGAACAGCCACAAAGCCAAGTCTGAGTTTCAGATGTAGTGCTCAGTATTGCTAACATTCATCACAGCTGTGCGTTCTGAGCATTCACTGCATGTTAGACACTACACTAACATTTGACATACCATATCTCATTTGATTATTATCCATTTGCTACAGCTGACCAATCTCAAGTTCAGAGAACTTACCCCACATCATAGGGTCAGCTGGCAGAACTGGGCTCTGAACCCAGATCTGCTGGATACAAAGTCCATGTTCTTAATTCTGCTGAAGCAAAAGAACTTCTTCAGGATGCAGCACAATATTATCATAGTAAGGACTGTTACATACTGCTTTTCTACAAAGCATAACTAAAAACTATTAATCTCAAAATCATATTGAATATCAAATAGTAAATATGAGATCAAATTTAATCACTTCAATATCATCAATTACAGTGATTTTTTTCATAATTTTTGTAGTTCATAAATACCAAACTGGTCACTTAAAGTAGTAAGTGTAGCAGGGAGGACAGTCTGTGTCACTGGCTACAGCACTGTTCCAGTAAGGCTGAGCTAGTTAGTGTTCTTCAGAGGAAAAACCATGAGCCTTGAATTAGGTACTAAAGCCTACTCTGCATTCTCGCAGTTTGCTATCAGTCCCAAGCAGAACTACAGAGGAGTCTACAGTTTAGCAGGCACTAACCTACTACCAATGTGCAGAAAGCCATTCAGATATAGCTTATGTGGAAAGGTTATGTTAGATGACAAGCCCTGTTCCACTTGAGGACAGAACGAGAAGTCATATTCCATTATAGGAGCTGTAGTCTCCCCACCTCCCACTAGAGGAAGCAATAGCATTACTCTTACCATTTGGTGGATAGAATACAGCATATTCTTCCAACCCTAGTTTTCCTGTAAGAGAAAACCACAGATTGAGTAAAATAAAGTTTAAAGAACTAATTTATTCTGTGACTGTCCTAATAATGAGTGAAATTTTAAAAATTACTATTGCCTGATTTTAGAATTTTAAAAATTACTATTGCCTGATTTTATTTCATGATATTAAATTTATTGAAAATTTGCTAGCCAATCTTCTGATATTAGTAAAATCTTTTGGGAAGTAAACACTGTTTAACTAAATAGTTTCAAGTGTTAAGCACATAAGAATTTATTTACTAGTATAAAACTGTTTTTCTAAATGTAAACAATCCTAGTCTATTCATTTAAATAAACCCTAAGCTTTGCAATGTTCCATGTAGTTTGTGTTTTTATACAATCTGCCGAAAAGTTAAAAATTAAATACCTAAACAGAGAGTTCTCAAGCGAAGAAAGAAAAATGACTAAGAAGTACCTTACAAAGTGCTCAACATCCTTAGTAATTAGAGAAATGCAAATCACAACCACTTTAAGATTTCATCTTACCCCAGTCAGATTGGTCATGATCAAGAAAATGAAAGATTCCAAATGCTGGAGAGGATATGGAGAAAGAGGAACGCTCATTCACTGATGGTGGAAATGCAAACTCATGCAACCACTATGGAAAGCAGTATAGAGAACCCTCAAAAAACTAAAAATGAACCTACCATATGATCCAGTGCTACCACTCCTTGGCATATACCCAAATGATTCATCATGCTGTAGAGATACCTGTATATCCATGTTTGTTACTGCTGTCTTCACAATAGCTAAGAAATGGAAACAACCTAAATGTCCCTCAACTGACCAATGGTTAATGAAAATGTGGTACATTTACACATGGAGTTGTACTCAGCAGTAAGAAAAGATGAAATTATGAAACTTGCAGGTAAATGAATGGAGCTAGAGTGTGTTACAGTAAGTAACACAAATGCAGAAAAGCAAGTGATGTGTTGAAATGGCTAATCCTGGGTATCAACTTGACTGGATTAACTGAAATGAGAGAGATCTTCTTGATTGGATCATCTGAAGCTGGAAGACACACCCTAAATGTGGGTGTTACCTTCTGATGGCAGAGGAGAGTGCTTGCTTTTTGCCACTTGCCTTCTCTCTTGCTGGTGAGTTCGTCTTGCTGTTGTAGACTGAAGACTAGCTGATCTTTTGGAATTCGTCAGACCTTCAGTGCCAGATTGGGACTACTGAGACATCCAGCCTCATGGACCGAGCAATTACCAGATTCTCAGCCTCTCCAGTGTGGTGCAGCCATTGTTGGACTACTTGGACTCTATCCTGTGAACTAATCTGATAAATCCCTTAATATATATATTCATTTTACTGGTTCTGTTTCTTTAGAGAACCCTGACTAATACAGATTGTGGTACCAGGAGTGGTTCTAGAGAAACAGAATTGAATGTACCTGTGGTACTGGCTAATCAATCATGGTGTTCCCAGGGACCAAATACATAAGAAGCCTACTAAGTTTTTATTTGATCTGTATAAGCAGAAAAGCTCTAGGATGAATGACAGGAAATCAGTATTGGATTGTAGCAATAGAGAATCTCGCTCAGTCAACCAATTTCCAGACTTGAGACAGTTTACAGACCCTGAAGTCCTTGAATGAAGGGAAGGCCAGGTGCCCTTAAGGAAGGATCTTGTCACAGCACCAAAGAGTTATGCTGTTCGCCTCTCACCCATCCTTCCCGTGAGGGACCTGTGGCCTTTTACTAGAGAAACTGTACACTGGCGAAAAGCAAATAATCAGACTTTCAGAGGCCTATTGGATACTGGTTCTGAGTTGACACTGATTCTGGGAGACCCTAAAAAACATTGTGGCCTTCCAGTTAAAGTAGGAGCTTATGGAGGTCAAGTGATAAATGGAGTGTTGGCTGAAGTCTGACCGACAGTGGGTCCAGTGGGTCTCCAAACTCATCCTGTGGTTAATTTCCTCAGTACCAGAAAGTAAAATTGGGATAGATATACGTAGGAATTGGCAGAATCCCCACATTGGTTCCCTGATCTGTGGAGTGAGGGCTATTATGGTTGGAAAAGCCAAATGGAAACCACTGGAATTGCCTCTGCCAGGGAAAATAGTGAACCAAAAGCAGTATCACATGCCTGGAGGGATTGCAGAAATTAGTGCCACCATCAAGGATTTGAAAGATGCAGAGGTTGTGATTCCCACCACACCTCCCTTTAACTCTCCTATTTGGCTTGTACAGAAGACAGATGGGTCATGGGGAATGACAGTTGACTATCAAAAACTTAATCAAGTAGTGACTCTAATTGCACTGTACCAGATGTGGTTTCCTTACTCAAGCAGATTAATACATCACCTGGTACCTGGTATGCAGCTACTGATTTGGCAAATGCTTTCTTCTTGATACCGGTTCATAAGGACCACCAAAAGCAATTTTCTTTCACCTGGCAAGGCCAACAGTATGCCTTTCTGTCCTGCCTCAAGGGTATATTAACTCTCCAGCCTTGTGCCATAGCTTGGTTTGAAGGGATCTTGATTACCTGACTCTTCCACAAAATATCACATTGGTCCACTATATTGATGATGTTATGCTTATTGGATCCAGTGAATAGGAGGTAGCAAACAGTCTGGTCTTGATGGTGAAGCATATGTGCGTGAGAGGATGGGAAATAAATCCAAAATTCAAGGACCTTCTACCCCAGTGAAATTTCTAGAAGTTCAATGTGTAGAGCATGCAGAGACATTCCTTCTAAAATGAGTAATAAGTTGTTACACTTGGCCCTTCCCTCCACCAAGAAAGAAGCACAAAGCTTAGTGGGCCTGTTTGGATTCTGGAGGCAGCACATTCCTCATCGGGGTGTGTTACTACCACCCACATATCAAGGGCAGCTACCTTTGAGTGGGGCCTGGAACAGGAAGGGGCCTTCAACAGGTCCAGGCTGTTGTACAAGCTGCTCTGCCCCTTGGGCCATATGGTCCCGCAGACCTGATGGTGCTTGAGGTATCAGTGGCAAATAGAGATGCTGTTTGGAGTCTCTGGCAGGGCCCCATAGGGAAATCATAGTGGAGGCCATTGGGATTTTGGAGTAAGGCTTTGCCATCATCTGCAGACAACTATTCTCTCTTTGAGAGACAGCTCTTAGCCTGCTATTGGGCCTTAATGGAATGTTTAACAATGGGCCACCAAGCCACCATGGGACTGGAGCTGCCCATCATGAGCTGGGTGTTATCTGACCCCCACAAGCCATAAAGTAGGATGTGCACAGCAACAATCCATTATCAAATGGAAGTGGTATATTCGTGATCAGGCCTGAGCAGGCCCAGAAGGCACAAGCAAGTTACTTGAAGAAGTTGCCCAAATGCCTATGTCCAAATACTCCTGTTACAATGCCTCCTGTTCTCAAGCATGCACCTATGGCTTCATGGGGTGTGCCCTATGATCAGCTGACTGAGGAAGAAAAGTTTAAGGCTTGGTTTACAGATGGTTCTGCACAGTATGCAGGCACCACCCAGAAGTGGACAGCTATGGCATTACAGCCAATTTCTGGAACAACCCTGAAGGACACTGGTGAAGGGAAGTCTCCACAGTGGGCAGAACTTTGAGCAGTGCACATGGTCGTGCATTTTGCTTGGAAGGAGAAATGGCCAGAAGTGCAATTATATACTGATTCATGGGCTGTAGCCAATGGTTTGGCTGGATGGTCAGGGACTTGGAAGGAGCATGACTAGAAAATTGGTGAGAAAGACATTTGGGGAAGAAGTATATGGATAGATCTCTCCAAATGGCCAAAGGATGTGAACATACTTGTGTCTCATGTAAATGCTCATCAAAAGGTGGCTTCAGCAGAAAATGAGTTCAATAATCAAGTATATCAGATGAACTGTTCCGTGGATTGTCAGCCTCTTTCTTCAGCTATCCCTGTCACTGCTCAATGGGCCCATGAACAAAGTGGCCATGGTGGCAGAGATGGAGGTTATGCATGGGCTCAACAGCATGGACTCCCACTCATGAAAGATGACCTGGCTACAGCTGCTGCTGAGTGCCAGATTTGCCAACCACAGAGACCAACACTGAACCCACGATATGGCAATATTCCCCTTGGTGACCAGCCGGCAACTTGGTGGTAGGTTAACTACATTGGACCACTCCATCTTGGAGGGGACAGCTCTTTGTCCTTATGGGAATAGACACTTATTCTGGTTATGGATTTGCCTTTCCTGCATGTAATGTTTCTGCCAAAACTACCATCCAGGGACTTACAGAATGCCTTATCCACCATCATGATATTCTGCACAGCATCACTTCTGACCAGGGAACTCATTTTACAGCCAAAGAAGTGGAACAACAGGCCCATGGTCATGGAATCCACTGGTCTTACCATGTTCCCCACCATCCTGAAGCAGCTGGCTTCATAGAGCAGTGGAATGGCCTCTTAAGACAGTTACAGTGCCAATTAGGTGGCAATAGCCTGGAGGGTGGGGGCAGGGTCCTCCAGAAGGCAATATATGCTTTGAATCAGCATCCAGAATAAGTAAGCAGGCTAAGAAAGGAATGACAGTGTTAGGAGGGGTGATTGACCCAGACTACCAGGGGGAAATTGGACTGGTTCTCCACAATCGAAGTAATGAAGATTATATCTGGAAGGTAGGAGATTTCTTAGGGCAACTTTTGGTGTTACCATGTCCTGTGATTAAGGTCAATGGGAACTGCAACAACACAATCCAGACAGCACAACAAATAGCCCAGACCCTTTAGGGTTGAAAGTATGGATTAGTCCTCCAGGGAAAGTGCCAAGACCTGCAGAGGTGCTTGCTGATGGTGGAGAAAATATAGAATGGGTAGTAGAGGAAGGTAGTTATAAATATCAACTTAGGCCATGTGACCAGTTGAAGAGATGTGGATTGTAATTGACATGAGTGTTACTGTCCTGTTTGGTTAAGAATAGGCTTGTGGTGCTTGAGAGATGGCTCAGCAGTTAAGAACACTGACTGTTCTTGCAGAAGACCTGGGTTCAAATCCCAGCACCCACATGACAGCTAACTGTCTGTAACTCCAGTTCCAGGGGATCTGACAGCCTCTTCTGTCCTCCATAGGCATTGTATGACATGGGTGCACTTACCTACATGCAGGCAATACACACATAAAATTAAAGAATTAAAAAAAAGAATAGCCTTGTGCATATATACATGTTAAGCAGATACTTGTGTTGTTCTTTTTTTTGAATGTGTAATTGAGATAAGTGTTAAGTGGTTAAGTGTTGTGAACCTATATAATTATATTGGGTTATGAGATACTAAAGGACTAAGCATTCCTTGAAGACCTTATCACCTACTCTAAGATATATACTGCACTGGTCATTGTATGATGGTATAGTCATATCATGTTAGGTGAAATTATGACCTCAACATTGTTTTCATTTGAAAATTAAGCATGACATACAGGAATGCTATGGGGTGTCAAGTTGACAAGGAGTGGACTTGAGATGGCTAATCCTGGGTGTCAACTTGACTGGATGTGGGATTAACTGAAATGAGAGAGATCTTCTTGATTGGATCATCTGAAACTGGAAGACACACCCTAAATGTGGGTGTTACCTTCTGATGGCAGCCCATATAAAAGGCCATAGCAAAGGAAAATGCTTGCTTTTTGCTGCTTGCCTTCTCTCTCACTGGTGAGTTCATCTTGCTGCTATAGACTGAAGACTACCTGGTCTTTTGGAATTCATCAGACCTTCAGCACCAGATTGGGACTACTGAGACATCCAGCCTCATGGACCACTCAGCCTCTCCAGTGTGGTGCAGCCATTGTTGGACTATTTGGATTCTCTCTCTCTCTCTCTCTCTCTCATATATATTCATTCTACCAGTTCTGTTTCTTTAGAGAACCCCAACTAACACATGTATGCTCTCCCTCATTTGTGGATTGTAGCACCAATCCCTTATATGTGAGTATATAAATTCTGAAGTAACACCAGGAGTCAGGTAAAGGCAAAGGATATATGGAGGTAAAGGAAAAGAAACAACCTGAAAGGTAGATAGTAGGGAACTGATGCTACCCAAGTGTGGTGGAAAAATTGTGCGTAATCAGCAGGGAGGGGAGGAGGGTGGGACATGCCAGGGGCCGTGGAGTTGGGGAGGGAGGGAAGTCAGGAATGGAAAGATGGTGGGAGATGGGAGGTATTGGGGGGAGGGTGGGAATAATGGGGTACTGTGTCTAGGAAGGGAGGGAAGAAGGAGGCCAGATGGGAGAAAAAAGAGTAGAGATGAATGAATCTCAGGGGACTGGGAAACCTAGAGGGAAAAGTGATGACCCAGAAACCCTATGAGAAATGTGCATAGAGTGTCTGAGCATTAATGCATATGTATACCTAGGAGCTGCTTGACAGGGAATGCAGTGCCAGATAGAAGAGACCTCCCTTAGAGTGACAAACATGCCATACAGCATTCATCAAAGAAACTTCTTTTCACCAGTGAGGCTTCCATGTACATCAGAGTGCATTACACACAGAAGCCCTCAACTGGCCAAGTTCTGGAGAAAAAGAGACTTTAGAGTGTAGGATGGGACTCCTATAGGGAACCTCACCCACCCACAGCTCAGGGACTATTGTGGAAGAGGAGGGGAAAAGACTGTAAGAGCTAGGGTTGGTTCATGAATGTATGAGGTGGAGGCTTCCAGGCCAATGGAGGCTTGCTCATATATGCCTGTGAAGTGGTGGAGTCCAACGTGGGACCCATGTCAGCTCAATTAAACAAGGGCCCAAAGGGGAGGTGAGAAATAGGTGACAGGTCAGCACTAGATTGAGAACTATTTAAGACTGGTTGCTGCTGGGTAAGGGAGAGTATGACTTACGTATGACCACTGGATGGGCTGACTAGACTCCAGTGGATGCATTTACACTGAAAGACATTTGGGTACAAACACCTGAACGAACAGGACTCAGTATGTATGGCAGAGTGCATGTGGTTTGGTGGGGGGGGAGGTAAGGATGGGGGATGGGGTTTGAATTTGGGTTGGAAATATTGTATGAAATTTTAAAAGCTCAATAAAAAAATTAAGTATCTAACATATAACATAGATTCTGACTCCTGAGATAGCTCACATGATCAGAGAACAGGATGTCTGAAACCAGAACTGTCCTAGAAGGCATGTTCACTGTAATAATGTGTCATAGCTTCAAAAAGTTTTCCTCAAAGCTTTCAAACTTCGCACTTTTCCCATCTCTGACTGAATGCCTTTAGGTGGCTTTCGCCTTGACAGCTTTCTTAACAACTTTGATTTTATTGAGAAGATGTTCATCCTTGCATTGGACTTTAAAGTAAAATTTGTAATTAAGCTTTTTGTTCTTATTAGGTGTGGGGCTGAGAGAAGATGAAGAGTAGGAAGAGTGAGCATCTTAGGGGCAGGTGGAGACACAGAAGACCAATCTTTCGTGAGGAGACAATGGGATAGTGGAAACAGATACAAAGTGTTTTACTGCACTAGGTGTTGAGGCAGACAAAATAAATATAGTATACAGCCCCTCACCCATGTGTTTGTAATCCAGATCAAACCACGAAACCTAGAATATGTTTGCTGACTTAAGGGTGTAGAGGTTCACAGGGAAGGAACATTGATGATAGGTTGGTAGACATGATGAGATATTGACTGGTTCTTCAAGAACCTATAATTGTGGGGTGTGGAGGAATGTGAAGCCTTTCATACATGGACTATATTGGGCACTATAATGAATATGGCATATTGTGAGGTTGTCAGGGAAGGAGAGAAAGTTAGGTTAAGATTGTGCAGACAGATAGAGGGCCTTCAAAATCATAGCTCAGAGTTTAATTACCATCAAGTAAGTAAATTCTACAATTATTCGGTGTGGAGGGAGGGAGGGTGTGTGTGTGCGTACGCATGGAAGAGTGTGTGTGTTGTATGTACATATTTATGTGGGTGTGTATATGTGTGTGCATACATGCAGAGGCCAGAGATTAAGGTCTGGTGTCTTCCAGGATCACAGTCCCCCTTATTTTCTGAGACAGAGGACCACTGATCCAGCTAGATGGCTGGCCAGTGACCTTCTGGAATCCACTTGTCTCCGACTATCCAGTCCTGGATTCCAGGTGTGCTGCTTGCTGTGCCTGGCTTTACATGGGTACTTGCGAACCAAAGTCCAGTCTTCGTGTTTGCTCAACAGGCACTTTACTGACTGAGCCATCTCCTAAGCCCAATAATTACCTTTTTAAAAAAGAAAATTTCTATATATTTATTTTAGAAGCAAAGGAACTAAAAGAGCCCCAAGCTGGGGAAGCCTGGCTCCAACACAAGATGGTGTGGTCTGCCTAATGCAGGAGCTGAAATAACCAGGCAGGTGGGTCAGACTGAGGAAATACTAGGGAAATGGTTTCCTTCTTCATGGAAACAGCAAACGGATCACACAACAGGCAATGAGCTTTCAGTGCTGGATGTTTACCACCTATAAAAGGAGAAGCTGAAAAAGGATGTCAGCTGAAGTTAGTTCAGTTTTCAGGTAATGGCAGGAAACTGAACAGTGACATCAATATATTGAGGCAGTTAGTGATGAAGAGAAAGAAGCACGCGAATAAAAAGTAGAGAGGTAATAGCACACATATTATACCCCAATTTTAAGTGTGGCAGAACTAGAAGGATTGATTTAAAAGATTAATTTTAAAAAAGAAAATTAAGAGAAACCGAAAAGACAATTTTGTGTAATGAACTAATAGGAAAAGAAAAATCAACATATTTGGCCTGAACAGCTCTGGAGGAGGCAGCAGACAGAGGACTAACAAGACAACTTGAAATGTGAAGCCTGTGAGCACTAGCTGGGACCAGAGACACTGCAAGGCCCAGATGCTGTGAGTGAATGGAGCGAGGGGTGGTGATGGCCATTTGAGAGAAATCTACGTGATTCACAGCTCAAAAGCTGGCAACACCAAAAGAAGACACAAATAGGCATTCTTGGCATGATTATGTAATTCTTCCTTCATATTATTAAAATATTACCTCTTTGCCAATATGGAAATATTTATTTTGTTTTATATGTGGTTTAATAAATACACTTTAAAATCCAAATATCAATCTGCACACCTTTGTCTTCTGTTGTTAAATGAGAATTTTCCCATAGAAATAAATTTTCTTAGTTATAATAAAAATATTACCTCTTATGTATGATTTCGGTGGTGAAGCACTATTGTATGCGAAGTGACCCAGTACAGATGTATCACGGGAAAAACAAAGTAATACCTGGATAAAACATTGGGAAAAAAGCAATTAGCAATGCTATAAAACAATTTATAGTAATTAAACTAAATAGTGATTAATAATAATTAAATTCATTACTATTTCCTGTGAGGGAGGTGAAACTGGTCAAGTCCAGTGCTGTGCTTTGTAATGGGAAGAGTGCCCTCTATCGCACATTCAACTACATTCAATGGTAATGGGGACATCAAAGATGACCAGAGTTTTTACAAAGATCTCTAATTATGTGCTATTCCAAATGAACAGCAGAAGATGAGTTATTTTCTTGTGTTTTATTTGGAAACTAAAAATACTTATGGGTAACTGAACAGAAGAGAAGTGGATAGGGCCTTCCATGGACAATCACTGTGGCACAGAATATGCAGAGAGGGCAAGAAACTGGAATCAGATTCATTACTGGTGTGCAGCCAATGGTTGGGCATGTCAGCAGTGGAGGGATGCTTCTATCTCCACATGGGACTGCAGCAGCAGAAGAAGGGTTTTCCCAGTACAGGCAGAAGCTGGATGTCCTGGTCAGCACCAAGAACATGGTGACTCAATCGGGAGACAAAATAGAAGGGGCAGAATCAGGTTTAGAGGCTGCCAGGGGGTGAAACCGGCTTGCTGACCATAGCCTAAAATCTTGAGGCAGAATTCCAGTCTCCTGGAAGATGATGAGTGAGAGGACATCTGGGTCCTAGTATTAGAAAACATGAAATTCCAAGAATAGTACAAAAAGAGCATAGGATAACCAAGAAAGGAAAAAATAAATAAAGCACAGAACTGACTTGAAGCCTTTTGTGCCCAAGTTTGGTTAGAAGGATATATACAGAGATTGGGCTAGACCCAATGGTGAACAAGCATCACTACTGCTACTGTTTTGTTTGTATTATGTTTTAAGAGACCACATAAGTGATACATGCTTATGACAACAATTAGAAAAGCAGATGATCAAAATGAGAGAAAACAACCATAGCTCCACCAGTATTGACATGTGAATGAATATACTTTTGGACTGCTTTTATATGTACACATATGTTTTTTCAAATAAAAGGATTGCACCAACTTTTATGATCTATTTTCTGTCAATGTTATAAACATTTCCTATGGATGTTTGTATTTGCAGAATATTCTACTGTATGAATAATAATTTATTTAACTCATCTTATTATTAAATATTTAATTATTTCATTTCCACCACTTCTAAGTTGTGCTGCAGTGAGCTTTTTTATAGCTAAGCAACTTTGTTTTGGGTGGTGTTTGGGTTTGAACCCAGGATCTTGCATAGCTGGGCAAAGGATCTACCACAGAGTTTCACGCCTAGCAGAGCTAACTCTTCATGTATACTGTCACTTATTTAAATTCCTAAAACTGGACTATATGTCTGACTAAATGCTGTGGGCACCTTAGAGTTCAAACTTTAAATACACATTGGCAAATTAGCTTCCACAATGGAGGGGGCTTTTCTAGATTTTTGTTTGCTTGTGATATATCCAGCATTAAGACAGTGTACTTTTTCTCTTTCATTAAAATGGGTTATCATTTTTAAGGCAAAAATGGCATCTTTCTTTAATAGTAATAGTTGAATTTTTGCATTTTTGTTTTTTCTGGCTCATCATTTTAATCCATTTTAAAATGAGTATTTCTTAAATTACCAACTTGTTTAAATTTTTTATATTAAGGTCTCCTCTTTTTAGTATCTATCTATCTAGGATGGAACCCAAGTCCTTGTACACTTTAAGCCCATGCTCTTCCAATAAGCTATAACTCCCAAGTTCTCAAGTCTGATTACATTTTGAAAATGGTCTTTAATCAAAGAAATTTATTTTGATATAGGCATTTTTACTTTAAAAATATTTTATTTTTTCTTTTATGTGTATGAATGTATTTCCTGCATGCATGTAAGTACATCCACTTTGTACAATGCCCATGGAAATCAAAGAGGGCACTGGACTGCCCTGGAACTGGAGCTATGGGCAGTTGTCAGCCACCATGAGGGTGCTGGGAATTGAACCTGGGCCCTCTGCAAGAGCAGAAAGTACTCTTAACTGCTGAGTCATCATCTCTTCAGCTCCCACGTTTTTAGTTTTTATTAGTTCACATTTTCATGTTTTCTTTCATACTTAGAAATCATCCCCTCGTCACATTTTACACACACTCGAGTTATAAAATTCAGTAGCATTGTGTATCAAATTTCTGGGTTCTCCCCCTTGAGAAATCAACTTGAAAATTACACACACACACACACACACACACACACCCCTAGGGAATCTATTAGCTTGTCTTTTCTGGCCATATTGGTGTTAGGGATAGCCATGTGACTTGCTTGAGGGTTTTCAAATGGAAGCTTCAAGAACCAGACCATAGTTAACCAAGTTCCCATGTCATAGTAAATGCTAGTTTTATGCAGTGGCTACTCCAAAAGTCTGGGTTCTGGAATAAGGATGCTCCAGAGCTGAATTCCCACTCTACCTAAAATGGACATGATCACGAGCAAGAAATAAACATTTGTTTTAAGTCACTGCGATTTGGGGTTTCTATGTTACTACAACATAATACAGCTCATCTTGACTCAAACAGAAAATTTCATTTAGCATCCTGATACATTCATTTTGTACTAAAATCATTAACTCATCTGGAACTTACTTTGAAATTAAACTGCTGGAGTTTAAATTGTAGCTCCACAATTAGCTGGATGACACTGACAAGTAACTGGACTTCTTTCCTGGTGTCTGTTTCTTCATATGTAATATGTTAGCTCAAACTGTATTGTGGGGATTAATTAGTATGCATAAAGTATTTAGAAGAGTATCCTGCTACAACACACTATTAAAATGTTAGCTACAATTACTACTACATTGCAATTAATTTTCTAAATTCTGCTGTTCTCTGCTCTCAATATACTTAATTTGGGATTCATTTTATTTCTATGGCTCAACTGTCAGGTGTCTTTAATTTAAAATTTTGTTTATCCCCATTTCTGGAAGATACTCAAGCATTAACCTTTTGATTGATTCTAAATTTTCTCTATTTACTTTTATAAGACTTTCATAAGTTACAAGTGTATACTTATCCAATCTGTCATCCTTCAATTAATTTTATCCCTTTGTATTCCACTCTGAATGACTTCCT